GCTGAATCCTGGATCATAATAATGAGCCATATTACTCAGAGCATCACAAAAAATAGAGTGGTCTTATTAGCTTATCATTAATTCCTGACTATATCAGTTTGATGATTATAGCTGGGCAAACAGCAGCAGAACAGGAACATGATCCTGATACCTCCTCTTGCACTGGGAAGCTTGTTGAACTTCTAACTTTTTGTCCATTTGGTTTTACAATCAAATTCTAAAAATAGGATAGTTTGATGAACTCTGCTTCTACTGTTATCTCTCACCATGCCGGTAATGTAGTAAGCCGACGTACACTTTCTCGGTTCTCAGTATTATCCACCTCTCTGAAGGCACTGATCGAATTGGCATCTCTCATATCATGCATTTTCTTTGAAGTCCCCTTTTGTATGTGACTTAATGCAAATTTCACATTATATTTTATAGTGTCAGTTTGTTTCTCATAAAAATGAGGTGTTAAACATCACTCAAATTTATAAGGTGTATGTCAGCATTTATTCAACCCCATAGTGTAATGAATGAACCTAGTCAACTGACTTGTACATTTCATTTTGCAAAGCAAAGTGGAGCCATTCAGGCCTGGATTCAGATCACAGATCTTCTAGGCATTACTAAATAGTCTGTGAGAATAATGCTACCTTCCTTGTAGGATTCTGTGAAAGTGAAATGAAATAAAGTGATTTTTCAGCACTTCTCTTTCCTTTGCACTTCTTTTTTTTTTTTTTTTTTTTTGGTAGAGTGCCACAGCATTATAGCTCACAGTAACCTCCAACCCTTGGGTTTAAACGATTCTCTTGCCTCAGCCTCCCAAGTAACTGGGACTACAGGCGCCTGCCACAATACCCAACTATTTTTTGGTTGCAGTTGTCATTGTTGTTGAGCAGGCCCAGGCCGGGCTCAAACCCACCAGCTTCAGTGGATGTGGCCAGTGCCCTACTCACTGAGCTACGGGCGCTGAGCCTCCTTTGCACTCCTTTTCATATGTAACTGGTAAAAAGCTTTGTGTCTCAAGTATAATGTAGTATTTTGGCCAAAGTAGCACCAATATGATAATCAAAAATAATGTAACAGTAAGTTTTATATTTATTACAGACACTTAGAAAAATGCCAAAAGGAATTTCTATACAGAAAATAAAAATGTACCTAAAACATTCTATAAAATGTTTTTATAGACATTCTATAAATATGTTCTATATTTATAGAACATATTTATGTCTATATATGTTATATATATATATATGTCTATATATGTTTCTATAGACATTCTATAAAATGTTATTTTTCCAGCTTTCTCCTGAAATTCATATTTGTCATATAATTGTATTTGCTTTGAAATTCTCTTAAAAGTTTTCCAAATTGATTTTTTTATTTCTCATGCTACCACTTACTAAATATTTTCTTCAACTATCGTACTAATCCTTTTAATGCAAAACATTTTTCCCTCCTTTTTTCATTACCCTTCTGCTGACTCTGTCCAGCAGTGGCCCAAGAACCTGGCTGCCAATGCCAGTCTGCTCCTCAGGAAGTGGAGGTGTTTTAAGAATTCTCACATGCACTAGGGTAATTGATTTTATAAAGCTAGGTGACTTGCACAAGGTCACAGATTGCCAAAGAGAAAGATCTATTTCCACTCCCCTTCTTCCTTCTCTCCATCTCCCCTTTTTTCCTACCCCAATTCTCTTTTTTTAGTAAATCAAACTGCCTTAATCACTTATCAACATATCAGAATACATGAGGCATTAAATATGAGTCTTGCACAATTGCTGGCTTGATGGATAAGAGTATTGGGGAAGAGCTAGGAGTGATCAGTTAATGAATGTAAAAATATTGTACAAAGAATAGAGTTCTGCCTTCATAATCTGAGATCTCTATGGTAAAATTTAAATAATGTGTGCTACACAGCCATGAATAAAACATCTGCCAATGAGTAGAATCTGCATCAAAGGAAGTTTTATATGACAAAATTGCTTCAATTACAATTCAACACTTCACTACACTATAAAAACATACAAATTACACCAATATTTAACTTGAAACATGAAAACACACGCTCACTCACACACACATACACACACACTCTTCCACATACACTAAACTAACCATCTGGTTTAATCTATCATGTAAGGAGGTAGTCCTAATATCCACAACTAGGAGAAAAGAAATTTAGGATGGAAGAATAAAACAGTTTGCAGAGTAAATAGAGATTACAAAATATCAAATGATGGTATAGATAAAATATTATACCATGTTTTCAGTCATAAACTCAGACTATTGCTGTAGAGAAGTAGCCACTTATTTTTGATTCAACCATTGCAAACAAGACAATAATTCTGTGAGAAAAATTGAAGACTTCAGAAAAGGAGAAAGGGCATTAATAGCCTTGAACATAGACACATGAGCATTTTACTTTTTTGTTTTGGACTGCTATTAGAAGTTTTATGAAAAACATATTAAAATCTATAGAGAAAAATAAATCTGTTTAAATTACCAGCTACAGCCAGGTATAGGAAACTCTAACCCGGCAGAGTGTAATGAACCACATTCTCTTCCTGGAATCATGGTGTATACCAGACAAGATCCAGACAAGAAAACACAGATCACTTTAGGGAGATTGGGAGAGCAATTAGAATATGGAAAACCAGTTCCAAAAGGCCATAGTGGAGAATAGGAGGTCCCATTCTCCCATTCAGGGCTGGACACCAACTCCCATTTTCTAAGCCTAAGAATACAGACTTTTTCTCTCCAGAAACTTCACTCTGGGAATAACTCCTGTTGCTTTTTTTCCAAGCAGGAATAACTGCATTGATATGTTAAATACCCTCATTTAGTCACTAATCAACACTGGAAGTCTGCCAACTCAAGGCCAAGTGCAACTCCCAAAAAAACAATATAAAAGCTCCTAGAGAAAAGATTCACAGGGGGCATTTCCCACTTGAGTCTCCCCCCTCTGCCAGAGGCTCTGGTGCCTTTCCTTCCTTCTATTCTGTTCTGTCTAATAAATCCTGACTTATCACCGATCTCTGTGGTCAGCAGGTTCATTCTTTGAATCTCCAAGACCAAGGACCTACTGCAGGAAGAAATTTTGGTAACACCAAGGACTGGGAAGAAGGGGAATGGTAAGCTGTTGCTCAATGGTTGCAGAGTTTTGTTTTGGGTGATAGAAAAGTGCTGAAATAGACAGTGGTGATGTTTATATAGCTTTGCAAACATACTCAGCAACATTGCTGAGTTGTACACTTAAAGTGTTCATTGAAGGTATGCTGAATTGTAAATTGTACAGTGAAAATAATCAAATTGATAAACTTCATGTTGTGTATATTTTTCAACAATTAAAGATAAAAAGTAATTATCTCTGCAAGCACCTGTCAAAAAGTTAAAAAGGAGCTAATACAATAAACAAAGTTATGGCCCTGGATTAAGTACAGCAGGAAATGGTGGTGCTAAATTAGACGTTAATAACAGCAATAGATTAACCATAGCATGAAGGTTTTGCTACCTAGGCTGCAAGACCTAAAGGAAGGAGAATGAGGTTACAGCATTAAGAAGCCAAAATTTTAGGAGGATTGGAACCACTGGAGAAGCTTTCCAAAGATGCTGAAAAGGAAATATAACCACCACTGAAGATGCTGCCCAAGAAAAGAATGGAAAATCCTCTGGCTTCTCCCTTCCTCCCAACCACCAACTTCCCACTGCTTGACTCCCTACAGAATTAAGAAGACAGTGACATGGAATGAGTTTTTAATAAATGCCATCTATGATCATTTAATGAGCATAGAAGGGAAGGCTGCTTGAAGAAAATGTTATTGTCAAATTATTGAGTGAATGATGATTTAAGACATCCTACATTATGCAAGCCAGTCCATCATGCTAGTCCTTCTATAGTGTTCTACCATTGCCTGGCTGAAGGGCCAGGTATAAGCCACTTTTGAGAGGTTAAGGACCCAAAGACAAAAAATTATTCCAAGAAGTGAGACAAAAGGAAAAGAGAATCTTGGTTCTATGTGGGAAATATGGTCTTTATTCCACCTGGGTGTAGGTGGGGTGAAATCCCTGACCCCACACATGGGTTATGGCAGATGGAGATTTAAATGATTAAGGGGGCAGGAATTGGCACATTCATTATTTCCTAGGTGGGACACGCACCTGATCCTTCCAGAACGGGTTGATTCTACTTGTGTAGGTCAGTACATCCAATTCTATGATCCCAATCTTTCTAATGTATAACAAAGAGGCAGGGTTATAGGAGTGGTGTCTCTTTGGCTGCTTCCTATGGAATGATGAGGCAGAGTGGACTACATGTATGGAAAAAGGGAAGAAGAGGAAGTGGCATTTACAGGAACATTCTTGCGTCTTCTGTCTGGACTGACGGGTCTCCATGCAGGGAGAGGATGTGAGTGGTTGCTTTGGGGCAACTGGTTAATAAATTGGGAGATGAGGATGAGGCAGAGAATTACTGACCCACAACTGATAATGAAAAATTATAATTAGTGGCCCTATCACAGATGATAACTAAGGAGGATGACAGACAGTAGGGGGTGGGAGCCCGGTGATGATACAATCGGGTGTACTGACCTGCCAAGGTAGAACTGACCCACATGGTAAGGATCAAGTGCATGTCCTACCCAGGAAATAATGAATCTGCCTGTCCCTGCCCCCTGACCCTTTACATCCCCATGGGTCATAGCCCACATGTGGAATTATTTCCCATTCAAGGATTTCACCCCACATGCACCCAGGTGGACAAAAGACCACAGAAGAGACTCTATTTTCCTTTTGTCCCACTTCTCAGAATAATCTTTCATCTTTGGGTCCCTAACCTCTCAACTTTCTAACCAGAAATGGTATAAATTTGGAAATGGAATTGGGAGGAATGTGGCTTACTGTCATGCATCCTTGAAAGAACAATTCACTTCTTGAGCATCTAGAATGATTATCAGGCACCAAGTATACTAGGCCATACTATTGTTTTAATCTTTTCCTTCATAGGAAATGTGAGAAGTATGCTCACTTCAGCAGCATAAATACTAAAATTGGAGTGATACAGAAAAGATTAGCAGGGCCTCAATGCAAGGATGACCTGCAAATTCATGAAGTGTTTCACAGTTTTAAAAGATGGAGCATTTACATTTTGTGTGTTTACCTGGATGGAGTTTAAACACATTCTTCTTAGGAAAGTATCTCAAGAATGGAAAACTATATCCAATGTACTCAATACTAATATGAAGCCAATATATAAACAACTACACAAAAGATAAAACACAAATATAGTCTGGCAAGGGAGAAGGGAGAAGAGGTAAGAGGGAGGGTAGAGGGCAATTTGCAGGATCTCATCTAATATGCACAGTGTGAAGGTGCTCAGTATACCCCTTGGGTGAAAGGCTCAACTACAACTTGAACTTTACCTTAGAATTTAAAACAATTTAACCTAAAATTTTTTACTGTCATATTAATCTGAAATAAAAGAAAGAAAATGTGAGATGTATTCCCCAACATAAAGTAAGTGTATGTATTATAGGGGGTAAAAAAGAAGCCAGGCAATGCAATTTGCAGGGTTCAAGCCCGAGATATGGAGTAAAAGAAGCAAAAGTCAGAAAATGGATTTGGATGCAAAAAAGCCAATAATACCCATATAGTATATACGGCTGCAGTGTGTGTTTGGGTGCATCTTAAAGGATTCTGATCAAATGTTATTATAAGGATTTCACCAAATTTTTAAACATATTTGAGAAGGTAAGTTTACAATAGTCACCTGAAACTTGGTCACTCACTATAGTCTTTGGAAAGGGGATTAAAATTAGTCCTTCCAGCCATTATTTTTTTTAACCATTGGCAAATTAATATTTATAAAATAAATCTTCTAATTTGAAGTTCATTATTGTCTTTCTCAAAAAAAAAAAAAGAGGCTTAGTTGTATCCTGGCCATCTTTAAGCGGCATACTCTGTGTGAAGATCTATTTTTCCCAAGGTTAGTGTCATATTTCTCTTTATATGTTCCTCATCTTCCTAACATGGCAAAAGTCCAAAATATCCTGATTGTTTACCTGATGATGGTTCAGTTCACCTGTACACTGGTCTAGTCTACATGCCAACAAGTTTCAAAATATTCCATCTAAGAGATAACTTTACAACACAGCTTTTAATGAAACACTTTAAAACCCATCCAACTCTTTTCTCTTTTACAGCATGAACTCTTAAAGTCTTTGCTCTATAACAGGGGTTGGCAATGCTTTTCTGAAAATAAAAAGTAAGTAAATATTCTGGAGTCAATGTTGTAGCCTTTGTAGGCATATGGGCTTTGCCGCAACTACTTCGATTCTGGCATCATAGTGCAAAGATAGCCAAAGACAATGTAAACAAATGGGAGTGGCCATATTTCAGTACAAATTTATCTACATATAAGTTTGAATTTTATATTATGTCATGTATCACATGTCACAAGACATTATTCCTCTTTTGACTTTTATTCTACTATTTAAACATGTAAAAACCATGCTTAGTTTGTAGGCAGTACAAAAACAAAAGCCTTGCTTCAGACTCCTGATTTACAACATAAGCTTTCTAAGATCTGGCCCACGCCTGCTTTTTCAGATTTGTCTTTCACCCTTCATGCCACGCTGATGGGTTAATTATGTTTGGACAGTTCTCTGAGCATATCATACCATTAGCTTCAAACTTCCTCTGTCTTGAATGACTCTACTTCTTTCTATGGATTCTGCAAATCCCTGCTCAAAGATCACCCACTCTGAGACTTTCACTTAGGCCTTTTGAGCTATTTTATCCAACAGTTCTCTTATAAACTCTCTTGACCTATAATAAATGTGTATATCTAACCACGACTCTCCCTGTATTAAAAATTTATGTACCTGTGTTTGTCTTTCCTGTTGATCCTTTGCTTTATGAAACAAAGACCTTGATTTAGTCATGTTTTCATCCCCAGAATTTTGTAAAATTTCTGGAGATTGGCAAATGCCTAATAAATATTTGTCCAGTGAAGGAATTGAGTGAATTAACACTCTATTCTATTTCTAAAATGGGACTCAACTCTTTGATTTATCAAGAAGTAACTACCATAAGCACTGAACTGTAAGGTTTCCTCATCTATCCACTAGTGAGTAAGTTTTGGTCACAGAATCATATATTGTCTTCAAATCGGATGTTAATCATAGGCGACTATGTATATGTCTATAGTAGGGGTCAGCAACACTTTTCTAGGGAAAAACACACCGTAAATATCATCGTCTTTGCAAGCCATAGGGTCTCTGCTACAACTACTCAATTCTGCCATCATAGTTCAAATTTAACCATAGACAATGTGAATAAGTGGGAGTGGCTATATTTCAATACAAATTTATATCCATTGAATTTTGAATTTTATATTATTTTATATGTCACACATCACAGATTATCATTCCTCTTAAGACACTGTTTAACCCCACTTGGTATGTCCAAGTATTCCTGGTGCCTGGTTCAATGATGGACACATTGAGTGAGTTGCTCTTTCAAAGGCTGCATGACAGTGGACCA